GACTCAGTCTGAAAATGGATTAAAATAATTGGTCCACTTTTCGTGTATTCACTTCTTTCCTGCGGTCTGTACCATCAAAATAACTCACTTTGTAGATACATAGTTAAACTGGGTTTCGATTAATCTTCTGAGATAACATTGTTGCAGAACCTTCATTTCGTATGGAAGTGCATGAAAAAGAGATTCGTTGCTCCTCATCTGGTGAGATCGACCAAAGAATCTCTTCTTTATGCACTCTCATTCGAAATAAGGGTCCCCCTAATTCACTTTGTCCTAGCAACAGCAGGTCGACGCTCGACGGTTGCCTAATTCTACACCTTCTCGTTGACTCACTCGACCTTTCTCTATCTCGAGCTTCGTTTTTCCATCTCACTTTGCTTCGGCTTTCTAGCTTGAACTTGTTTTTCTTCTATTTTGCTGCATTAGCTTCGCGTTTCAACACCACCTTCGACCGGGGCTATGCAGTGCTCGACTTTCTTTACACCAACCAGGACGACTCTGGCGAATACTTCTGCCTGGCGACCAACTCGCTGGGCCAAGCGCAGTCAGCCAGTTCGCAAGTTAGGTCAGTTGGTACACATTCAACTTTAACCATTTTCACCGAATAACACTAAATCATGCATGCAAATGGAATAATTCTGTACCGTTTGTGGTGGTTTGGAGTGGAATTTCGCCACAACCAAACAAGTAAGTCTCGCGATGCCATTGAAGAAGACACAGTTTTGTCTCACGAAAGCTATTTTCATCTCGGCTTGACTGGACTGGACTGCATTTTGGCTCACGCTTTTATCGTCTCATTTGGTCGAAATTGCAGTCCAGTCCAGCCGGGATGAGAATGTCGTTGTCGAAGCAAAGCCGGGCGTTCTTTAATGGCATCATTTCATTGTGGGAAAATTCAACTCTCAGTCGTTAACTTACCTAAAGTGGGCTGGAATGACCCAAATTTATGTGCAATTTAACTGCCTGACTCACCGCAAATGAGTCAAATTGTATGCAAGAATTGGTCTCGAAAAATAAATATAAAGAATGGAAAAAAAGGATAATAATAATCAGAGACGGCAGGTATGGAGTACATGAACAAGCCGGAGAACTAGCGCTCAATCCTTATTTCACCTTAAGAGACCTAAACCAACTCAACTTCGATGAATTCGGCAAACTGCTGACTTCAACTCCACATGCTCAATGGCCTCAATTGCTGTTAACATTTCAAGCGTTGCTGACCGACATTTTCGGCCTGACAACAAGCTTAGCAACAACAGGCAAGTCCTTCTGCTATGTGTACCATTCCTTTGCCATCTTGGCACTAAATGAAGTTTTTTTTCCAACTGGTCTATCAGCTTATCTCTTTCCCGCCTCCTAATCGCGGTGTTTATAAGCCTTAATCATAATTATTTACTATTCTGTAAGAGAATATTATAAAATTAATTAAAATCTAAATCCATTTCGACACGAGCTGTTGCCTTGTCTGAAAGTTGACTCAAATTATCGACTCTGAATTGTCAACCGATCCGGGCCCTCTTCTCCTCCGCTCTCTCTTTACTCCCTCTTGTCTCTCTCTTCACTCTTTTATTTTCTCACTTTTTCATTTTCTTTTTACTCTTTATTTTTTCCTCTCTCTCTCTCTTGACTCTTTAGCTACTGTTTAACTATATTTGTTTACTCTTTCTTTTACCTTCTCCTTACTCTCTTATATTACTCTCTATCTCTCTCTCTTTTTGTCGGCATTTTCTCTTTACTGTCGTTGTGACTTGGTTTGTTGTGAAAGCATCACAGTCTGCTCTTTCGAGCTGTAGATTCCGCTTACTTTCCACATATAAAGACAAAGAGTACACGAGCCTCCTTTTGCTGTGTGGCAATGGTTTGGCCTCGTTTTCTCAATTTTTCTGCCCTGTCAGAGCGATTCAGATGAACGCATCCTGTCCGAATTACGCTGTTTTAGTAGCTATGACAATTTGCAGCTTCGGACCGTCAACTTGATACATGCCCAGACGTTTGGCCGGCATCTTCGATGCATTTTCACATTTCTAATACCAAACCATAACTCTGTTGAGCCTGGCTTGGCTCTTCACAAGCTGATTTCAATCAGCCCGACAATTGCAATCCTGTGCTCTTTTTTCTGACGCCTAAAAGTGAAGAAGCCCACCAGTCGTCTCGATAAAATGGCTCGACAATCCTTTGCTGAGCCTGTTTCGTGCCTCTTCCCGCAGCCATGATGAAGTCCAAATAAGGTGTCTTTAGAAAGGACCATTCTGTACCACCGTAATGGTTTTTATGTGCTTGCGCGATGCGAATCGAGACCGACCTTGGCTGACCTGAATATCATATCAAATCTGTAGATAAATGCCTACTCCAAAGTATGGTTGATAGGACAATTTTCTTACTTTTAAGCTTCTTTTCTATTCAGTTTTGGTATGTACGAGCTGAAATGGATTTCTAGCCCAAACGCAGCTTGCTTGTGCGGTTGAATATAGGCGAAATTTGTATGTATATGCACACATACAAATGTGTATTTCATGTCAATTATGGAGTAAATGTCGTGTAGGTTGTCGAGGAAAAGGAAGCCCTCTAAACTGGCCGAACAGAGGCACCAGAATGGAATGGGGCCAGTCAACTCGGAGCAGTAAGTAAGCAGATGTGTGCTTCGATGCATGCTTTTGATGTGTGTCTCGTCAAGGCAACTAACTCACCAACAAAGGTTACGTACGGGGCTGGGCCGCGATGGTGCATTCCAGTCTTGGCAGCAACCCTTTTTGTCTACACGTTGGGTTCGGCCCATCGGGGTACGTCCAACGCCGTCGCATTCACCTCTTCGTCCGCGCTCATCGAAAGACTTGCCCCATTCACGGCTAATCTTCATCGCCCTCATTCCACACCCCGCCTACGTACATTGGAATGGCCACACCACGAGGTACACATGCTTGGCCTGAGGTGAGGCATACTTGTGTTAGGGTCGATAGATAGACATATGGACTGTGCTGCCGGACACGCGGATCTGCTTGTAGGCAAGCTTTTGTCCGTCCGATCCGGTCGACAGATACAAGGTTAGGCAATCGAAGAAACATATGTACAGACATTCATACATACATACATTCATACAGACAAACAGACAGACAGACAAGTAGACATACACTCGAAATTACCTCTAAATGTTTAGTTGCTTAGCTTCGTAGTGCTATTGATCAACACTTGCCAAGCGGAGACTTTTTACGGCCAACTGCTTCGGGAATTGGGCTCGAAGAAGGCCGTAATTCACTCACCATTTTAAGCATTTATTGCGAATGACCCGAACATTCTCCGATTCGAACATTCGATTGGCGCCATGTCCGTTGGCGGTGAAGCCGGGCGAATAAGCTAACCGACTGGGCGGGAAGAAGGAAGGAAGCATTTTGGTATTTTGTCATCAAGTGGACTCAGGTGAACGGTCAGCTGGGACGAAGAGTCAATTGGTATCGTAGCCGAAGACGTTGGAGTCTTATGGTTGCGCTAGGGTCATTGGTCGTGGCGCCTCTATGATTTTTATGTCAAACTCAACCAGCACACGTTGGTCGACATTGCTCTTTGGTTAAGAATTTAAGGGACTACCAGTAAATCAGTAATATGAGAGGTATTCATCCGCACCGATCGAGATGATGCCAGCGATGTTTGGCGCACAATGAGGAAAGTCCGAAAAATTCTTTGAAA